AAACATATATATTAATATTTTAGTTCTCAGCTTGTGGAAGAGCTGCTTGTGATGAGCTTTCATTCATCATGTGACTTTCTAATCACCATTTGTTTTTGGTGGTTATTAGTGTATTACAATGGTTCAAAACAGATATTAGTATATTAACATTATATCAGTTGAAATGAAATACTTTTTTATTGTGAATTTAAGAGGAGTCTGTAAACCCTAAAATGATGCTACCATATTTTTTACGGTAAAGTTCTGGCAAGCACAGCTGCTGGTATTTTACCGTAAATGTCACAGATTTATTATTTTTTTTACAGTGTACAGTAACCATCACGACAGAAGCTTGTGGATCATGTCAGCTCTTCTGTCTTTAATCGTATTAGTTGTTGTTCCCGAAAGTTGCTTTTCATTTGCATAAACTGAGGCTGGACCTATTTTAGATTCATCTACATATAATCTAAATGGGTGTTTTCAATTTTTTTCTACAAATATTATGATCCACTTCAGCAACTAAAAGCAACTATATATTTTCATCTATAGTCCCATTTGTACTATGTGGACAATATTAAAGTTTTCTAAAGAAAAATACATTCTGTAAAAACAAAAAAAGCAAACATAGAATATGAATAATTAATACCTTACGGTAACATAGCTTCTAAATGTTACCAAATAACCTTCTAGCATCCTCTTGCAGACCCCAGATGCCAGTTTAAAAAAACCTCTCCTCTAGGTTCAGATTCCAATTTAGAACGCAAAATCTCACATTTTGCTCTGTTACAAAGTCAAATTACAACATATTTAATTAAGATCATTTTAAGATTCATTTTTTAATTATGCTTGTCAATCTGTCCAGGCAGACTTCACACAGCGTTCAGATAGCGTTCCAGCTGCACTAATTTTTAATTGTTGGTCTACATACACATGCGTCTGACAGATGTTTTTGTTTGTTGTGTTCCACACCATGAGCGCTTTGGTTTTAAAGCAATCAATCAGGTTTAAAAGTAGTCAAAAAAACAACTCTGAATGACCCCAGAATTAATCAAGTGTTATTGAGTTAAATCTATTGGGACAGCTCACAACTGAAACAGATCGGATCAGTACTGTGTTTTTATGTAGACCATGGAACCACCTGTAGAGCGAAATTGTCTTGAGGAATAAACGTCCTACAGAACGTTATAAAAATACTAAAATACTACTAAAAAAGACTTTGCCAAGGACACCTGTGATGTCCGTTGTAACCAAATGGAAAATGCAAGGCAGAATCCAAACACTACTAAGATCAGGCCATCTACCAGATCGACTAATCAAGGACAGAAGGTCAACTGCCAGAGAAAGGACCAGAGGCCCGCTACAACTGCAGAGTTCTTTGGATGAAATGGGGGAAACTATGTAGACATCAACAATTCTTTCGACACTTCACTGATTCTGCCTCTGTTCATGAGAATGGCTACAAGAACGCCAATTCGGAAAAAGGCTGACATTACATCACGGCTAAAGTTTTCTAGAAGCCACGTGACTAAACTATTAAGCCACTCCAAAACTTCTGGAAGAATTTTGTGGTCTGATTAGTCCAGGGTCGAGCCGATTCACCTAAAGCAAAGGAGACTGTTTGGCGCAAACCAAATATGGCCCAAGACCAAGGCATCAGCATCTCTTCCATCAAGTATGGTAGTGGCAGCATCATTCTCTTTTCAGCAGGAGCAACTGGAAACCTTGTTGGCACCAAGACCAACATGGATAGAGCCAAATAAACCACAGGTAAAGACTGGGATAGAAGCTGTTTGAGTCAGTCAGAGATCTGCATTTAGAGTAAAGATTAATTTTCCAGTGCAACAAAAATCAAGTGCACACAGCTAAACTATAAAGGGATGGCTTGGAAAAAAGAAGTTAGCAGTTCTGGAATGACCCAGTCAGAGGCAAGACTTCAATCCAAACTACAGTATGATCAGGAAAGTACATTGTGCAAATGCTAATTTGGAAGAGTTTAAAATTCCAATATATAAAGCTCATAGAATTACTCAAACTTACTGTGTTCTTAAATATAGAACAACCAAGACTCAACCTTTATTGCCCACAAAATAAATTTAGCTAATGTGACAGTGCCTTAGCATTAGCATAGACTCAGGAAGTGGAAAAACAATTAATGCATTAATAGTGTTAAAAAAAAAAAAAAAAAAAAAAAAAAAAAAAAAAAAAAAAAAAAAAAAAAAAAAAAAAAAAAAAAAAAAAAAAAGAATTAATCATAAATGTTTTTGAACTTATGAATTTACTCAATGGTGAAAAATTATTTTAGTGAGTTATAAGGTTAATAATTTGGACAAAAAAGTAACAACATGAATGCTTTCTGTAAACACTGCACATGTGTTGTATAAAATCTTTAAGTGCATCAGAAGTACAAAAGTTACAGCAGTTTGGAAGGAATCCCTTCCGCTGAGTCTTGAGATATAGGACTCTGCTCAAGACCTTCTGTGACAGCTTTTCATGGAGCTGGTTTCCAGAAGAAAGCAGGATTTTAATGCGCACATGGGATATATCGTGGGTTATATCTGCAAGACTCTTACAGATGAAATTCAGGGGAGGTTTGTTGGACTGTAGAGCAGAACAGAACAGTAACTCTATCAGCTCTCAAAAGTGAGCCTATGAAACAGAGACCATCCAATCTCAGTTACTGCTTTAAACCTCCTGTTCTAGGAAGCAATGACGCTGCACACTTTAGAAAAAGAAGGGAGAAAAATCGAGGTCCCGCTCAAATAATTTGTTCTCACTCTTATGTTTAGTTGGGGAGGCAAGAAGCAGACTAAATCAATCACGCTGAGTCCTGAATAGACTGAGACGGGGCAGAGACAGTGAAAAGCAGCCAAGTGCCTGCAATTCCCAGCATTAGTCTCCAACAGAAGGTCACCATAATGATGAACCTGAGATTTGTTTAGGCTACGTAAAACCATATTATATAACTAATCTCTGGACCCACATACAAAACAGTTCCATTGTTTTTTTTAAGTAAATGTAATTGATCATCTCTATTTAATAAAAGTACCAAACATAGTACTCTTTTCAAGAAGCCAGTTGCTGAAGCAGACAGGAAAGAGTAGTGACACTGGAAGCGGTCCATAGTAATTACGCTGCCCCCTGAAAAAGTATTGTGGGTAACCTTCACCGTGCCAACAAAAGCAACAGGGAGGAGGTGAACTTGCATCAGGATTTCTTTTTTTAGACACATGTTGCATGGACGCAGAATTGACTTCAACTGAGTTGTTTGTCCAATATGTTAATGTACATTTATTTTTACACTTAAATTGTGGTCGAGCAACTTTCATGAACATTTCTGATGTTTCTGATGGCTGCTCTTCCTTTGCAAGCTCGAAACCCTTAATTGTTCCAGCAACAGGACAACATGCTATGTTGTCTATATCAGTGTGAGACCTAACAGGGAATTCACACAGGATGCACTCTCTCGCTTCAATGCAGCTGCAGAATGCAAAGTTTAGGAACATTAATTATACACCGCTAATACAGACACTCAATACGCTTATCCATACATAAACATGCTTATGTTGTCCCCCACACTCATCTGATTGGCCAAATGTTTTAAAACAGACAATGATATGCTGTGTTGTTTTACATATTCTACCATTCTATGAGTCAGTAGGATTTTTTTAAAGAAATTAATACTTTAATTCAGCAAGAACACATTAAATTTAGAAAAGTGACAGCATTACAAAAGACTACTAATTCAAAAAAAGCTGTTCTTTTTAAATTTTTGTTAATCAATTAATAAAGGCATCACGGTTTCCACAAAAATATTAAGCAGCATAACTGTTTTACAATTTGATAATAATAAGAAATGTTTCTTGAATACCTAAATTTGAAAGAAAAAAAAAACTTTTTTAACTTTTAGTAAATTTGACATATTACTTATGCATTTTAATTCACATTTGCTGTTGCTGTTGCTGTTTACATTTTATTTGTTTCCTGTGTTGTCTTCAACACAAGTTACAGATAACCGTTATCTCTATTTCAAGGTCCTCAAGGTCAAAAGACTTGTATTTGCTTGTCAGTAACACCTGTTGGATTAGTTTCTTGTCAGACAAAGTTAAGCAGAAAAGAACAGAGCTTTAACAAAGACAAAAATTACAATTATAATATAAATTCCACTTAATTCTTAACCTTCAAAAGTTTGGGTCAGGAAGATCCTTTTTTTTTTTTTAAATAAAATAATACTTTTATTCAGAAGGAATACATTAAACTGATCGGAAGTGGCATTTAAAACATATTAAAATAGAAAACACTTATTTTAAGTTGTAATAATTTTTCACAGTATTACGGTTTTTATTGTATTTTTTTATTAAATATATACAGCCTTGGCTGTTGTAACCCTGACAAGTCATCTCTAGTTTGTGTTGCTGATCATTTTGAGAAAATATTGTATTTCAGCAAAATGATCTTGGAGGATAGTATATCTCACTTCAAAAATTGATAATTATATATCTCTCTCTGTTTTCCCCAGTCTAGCATGTCTCACTTTACCAGCTTGTCTAGACAGATTGAAGAACAGTGTGGGACAGTTCAAATCAGCTGCAACCTTCAGATGAGGTCACAGACTACTGATCTGAGCTCAGTTTCCTCCATGTGACTTTGACATCATCATACACTATGTAATTCCTCCATGTTCTCACATTCCAACTCAAATAGATTCGCCACAATAATGTGATGTCTCTATGCAAAGGACACAGGTCTCATGTTTAGAAAATATGTTTGACACATTGCAGCAGGAAGGAGTTAAAAAACTTGATAGACCAGGTGACCGCGGGTTTCCAAGTAGCCTGTTCCAAATTTTCCACTTTAACCCCAGCCTCAGCTCATTTTAGAGCCAATGACATCATATGTAGTGTAGCGAGAGAGCAGTGTGACAAAGTAAAGCCAAGCTGACCGCAAATTAGACGTTATTCACAGAAAACATCTGAATGTTCAGCCAGAGCTGTCACATATAGGCTACTGCACATTTTTCTTACCGTTCTGTTCTTCTAGCTCATTGCCGATCTCCTGACCCATCTGTTTTTGTCTACTTATGACTACAGCCAGAGCATCCAGGCCAGCATCCTGAACTAAAGAGAAAGACACATGAGAATAGAAACATATTTAGACAGAACTGTACAAAAGAAAGACAAAAGGGCACATATTTATCCAAAAATTATGGTTTAACGTGCATATTTTATGTTCCTGTGGTTAACATCATGCAAATCATCAGGAGTTGAAGGACAAGCTAAATGCTCATCTCATGTGGGTCAGAAAACCAATTGAAAAGTGCATAAATTCCATCTAAATGAGCCTCACAGAGAGAGAGAAAACAATTAGCAGCAGGGTGTTGGCATCTGTGACATTTAAATGACGCATAGTGTGATCTGATGTCATTTTTGACAGAGGCAGCTGCAACGGTGAGCCACAAGGTACTTTAGCAGTAACCTTGAAGCTAAAAGTATAACTTGGGTAGACAAAACGGCTCCTGCTTTTTCTCAAAACTCCTACCAGTTGCTATTCTCAAATGAGTAGCAGATCTCATAATGGGGGCGTAAATTCAAAAAAGGGCTTCTTCTAATGTCTCATCCCAGCAGAAAGAGGTGGACAGATAATTGCCAGCTAAAAACAATTTCAAATACCACATTAGTTATAAGACCGAAAGACTTCAAAGAAATCATATGCAATATACCTTCGATAATATGCTGCTGTTGGTGTTTGATTTCTCCAAAGCTGAGTCCTCTGGTCTCCTCAGACTCATTAACCAGCCACGGGTTCACGGCAGGCCCCGAACCATTTCCCCCTGTCATCAGACTTGACCTGGAGATACACATTGTATCATGTCAGTTTATTACACAGACTCTTCTAAATTCTGTAGTTTGAAATTCTGAAATAAATGTACGCGAAAAGTATCATATTGTGTACTTAACTTTTATGAGACTATGCACCACATTCCCATGATTCACTAACAAAGGTTGTTATGGAAAAAAAAAAGTATAATATAAAACTATTGACTTATAGCCTTTGGTTATAAGTATATGTGCTAAATACACACTTCCTTTAAAAAATTTGGGGTTAGTAAGATTTTTGAATGTTTAAGTCTCTTATGAACACAGGCTGCATTTATTTGATCAAAAATACAGTAACAGCAGCATTGTGAAATTTAATTACAATTAAAAAAATTATTATTTTCTGTTATAATATACTTTATACATAAAATTGAATTTATTCCTGTAAGAGCAAAGCTGAACACTCAACTACCATTACTTCAGGCTTCAGTGTTACATGATCCTTCGGAAATTATTCTAATATTCAGAACTGCATAAGATACATTACCTATTATGCAGCACAAATATTTTCAAATTTTATAATATTTTTGTGGAAACCTTGATATATATGTTTTTCAGGATTCTTTGATAATCAGAAAGTCCAAAAGAGCAGCATTTATTTGAAATCTTCTATACCAATGTAAAACTATCTGTATTTTCACTTCTGATCAATTTAATAGATCTTTGCCGAATAAAACTATTATTTAAATCTTACAGAAATTTTAGAGTCTAGGAAGCATGCTTCATAGGAATGGGCTTGTTTGTCCTAAATTGTTTCACCTGGAATTAGCCTACTACATTGATTTTTTTATTTTTTTTATTAATTATGCTTACATCTGATGGCTTCAACAGAAGCATAGACCATAGATTAATAATATTGGAGTTCACGGTGGGTCTATCTTTAAAGGCTTACACAGAATCTTAACATATCATTTTTAAAAAGATTTCTTTTTACAAAAACCAAAAGAAACCGAGTGCACTGTTATTCTGCAGAAGTAAAATCGCTGTAACACAAGCCTCTTTTAGCTTATTGTTTTAATAAAACACAAAAACTTATGTATGAACATGCGTTTATGAATTCAGCAGTCATCACCGTAATACACAAAGTCAACTTTCTCATTACATACACACACAGTAACTAGATTACATACACAGTGCAATATTATAGTTATTCCACATGCACTGTCAATCAACAGCTACATGCACACATCAAATCGACACACATCATCTACTTTACAAACGTAAATAAACTTCGAAGCATGTCTGTGAGTTGTTCAAGAGCCACAGGCTCTTTTACCAAACTCACATCTGTAGCACTCATGTGCCTTCAGAATAAATAATCTTTCTATTTTTTACTTCTCTAAAATAGCAAACAACATCCCCTACTTTGGACCTTGTAAGATCAGAGAACCTCTGTTTATTTGTTCATATGGGTTCCACTTTGTTGGGCCAGGAGAGTGAGTTTTCATGCCCTACGTTACAAGGACACAAAGCATATGAACCGCCTCTGGCTTTTATACAAGCTTTCAAAGCGCCATGCCAAACCGAGAAGTGGCCTGTTATCCTGTGGAGACACTGCGTTGTGCTTTTGCACTTTTCTTTGATTAATGTATGAAACCTGTTCCCCCTGAGGCTCCTGGACAGCTCGCAGAGAGAGAAGTGAAGTTTAAAGGCTCTTCTGGAAAAGCTATCAGCGCTCAGCATCGCACAGAGAGTTATGAGCCGGTCACTAGCTCGCACGGGTGCCCTGCTTCCTGTAGCCTATATCAAAAGTACCAATACCCGTGAAAACAAATCCATCCATGGCACTGATTACAAATAAATACGTTTTTTTTTCAATTTCATGTCTGGATGGTACAACTGTATTGATATCATAGTGAAGAAAAAAGCTTCATTACAAATTCCTAAAAATAAACCATATTGAGTACTTTGGGACAATATTTCGGCATTTAAAGACCCTAACTGCTTAGTTAATTTATGAACAATAACAATTTGAGAAATGCCAAGCCACGTGGTGCAACCAACATGAAGAAAAAATATATACAACAGGAAATTGAGGACTGCTGCAGACCCTCACAACTCTTAACATTTTAATTAGTTTGAGTTTTTTTTTTTTTTTTTAAATAACACAAACAGGTTAGTTAAGGTTGTAAATTTCCATATGATGAAAGATATTTATTAATTAATAATCAATAATATTTGTATAAAACACTTTAACTTAATTTAAAAATCTATACTTACAGCTTATAAATATAGCTTATAATACTTAAAGTAAATAATGACTGATGAAGATGTGCAAACCTAAATGTATTCTAAAAGTGTAAGGGAAAAAAGTGTATTTTTATTAGATTATTAGTAAATAAAATGAAACTTCTGAAAATACTATATGAATCCAACATGCATACAAAGAGTGCATTGCTAAAAACTGCACGTGTTTTAAACTAAATTTTTCCTTTATCATGCACTCTCATATATGTCAAAGTCCCATATCTAAGATTTATAACCATTTTTATACTGAGGATTTTTTTAATGTTTCCTTTCAGGAACATGCAGTTGTTCATGCAGGTTAAGGTGAAACTGCATGTCAAAAAAGGTATTGGAGTAAAACTCAAATGACTTCCTCTCACTATAAGCGCCAGTTTCTGACAATGGCCCTTCTCTTCCACTTAGTTCAGCATCAGCGGAGCTTCATTTGGGTTCAGAGGTCGCTAACCTCTGAAGAGTCTTCAGCTGGATCTGTTCCTCTCATTCTCATCCTTCCTCACACCGAGCAAGTTTACTTCTCACATGCTTGGTGAGCTAGACCTCTTTCTTCTCAATCTCTCCATTCCTCCAGCTTTCTAATCTACAAAAGTACCAAAGCAGTCTCACAGTGCCTTTGAAGCGTGTTCTCTATCCAAGTCCAAGCTGATATCAATCCTCTGGCCAGCGAGACAAGTGGTCAGCGGCGGATCCTAATCTTTCTGACATGTTTGGCAACTCGTAGCTTGCGCCAACCCCTCTACACTTCCTCCGCTCCATCTCAGCGGCGTGAGGATTAACGCTTATCCAATTAACCTCCCGCAGAGCCCGCAGACTTAATCAGACGAGGCATCACACTGGAGCGAGACCTGGAGACAGACCTCATCTCTTAGAGGCCCTATTTAACTAATTACAACTTTGTGCATTACAATCAAATATAAAAGAGAGGAAACGGGGGGAGGAGGGTAGGGGCACTCTGGTCGGGAACTCTGAATCTTCAAATGAGCGGCATGTCATTTTGTGCTTGATTAGAGGTTAATCTTCCACAAAGGTATTGTTTCACGAATGCCATAAGCCTGGTCTTAGCCCTATGGAAAAAAAGTGAACTGCTATTTCAGCTTATTGAAGCAAAGCTAACACCCCCACTGGCAAACAAAGACCACACAGTGAGATGAATCCAGGCCCTAAAAATCCTGCCAGGCTAACACCCTCATAAAAAATTCTTTAGTATTTAAAAAACTTGATCAAATGACTGTCATTTATTAGCGCTCTTTAGCTAAATGTGTGCACAGCGTAACAGTGCGACGTGACCAATAAAGATAAAATTCAGCCCTCCCATGTTAAGGAATTAGAGGACTAAGTCCACAAAGATGGCTAGAAAAAAATGAATCAGGCCTATAAATGATCTCAAAGTTTCTTAATTTTATTCATTAAAGATAGTAACTAAATACCTCTTCTCAGCCTTTACCACCCACTGAATCAAAAGGCCCAATCTATCAAACCTTAAAAGAAGAAGCCTCTGTGTCAGTGTTATTTTAGTATTATTACTATGAAAATATAGTACAGCACTATTATTTCGAATGAATAACAAATCCATTTTAGTTTACAAGGATAGTTCATCCATTTTTTTAGTTTTAGTTGAAGTTTACAATAACAACAGAAAAGAAGAGTAATCCAGACAGATGGAGCATTAAGCTAAAAAAAAAGATTTTTATATATTAGCAGGTTGTTTTGCCTTCCTATCCTAGTACGTATAACCTGGATCGAGAAGGTCAAATCAGAATAATGACCATCTCATTTCTCTGAGGAAGTTTGGCTCCTGAGCTGTCGTTTCGATTGAGAGTCAGAAGCGCACAGGAGATTGGCGGTGACACATTAAGTCTCTGATTGGTGTATTTTGGAGAGAGGATGTGAGAGCAGTGGAGAGTAGGGAAGTGTAAACAGTCCGGATGGTGGAAGTTCAACACTCAGCTCTGATCAGCAGAGCAGTAAAGCTGAACTGGAGCCCTCAGAGAGTGTGCACAGACTTCCGTTTGAGCACAGGTCGCACCATTTCTGGCATAAAGTTACTCAACACTGGGACACTACTGCAGGGCCAAGAAGGAAACATGGCAAGCAAAGGCCTCTATGGTCTGGTAGACTAACTAGGGCACAGAGTTCAAGGTTTCTCTACTGTTGTTCTGCATAACCATCAAATTAAGGTGAATATCAAACTATGCAGCTTCAAATAAGGATGGCCTGCTAAACTGGGGCCAGAGTGAGAGAGTTGAGCCAGCTGACAGAGTCATTTGGAACAGTCACTTCCTCTTTCAGGCCACTGCTGTGTCGACACTGAACATTTTACATTCATTGATCTTGTACATCAAATATACCTTGCAACCACAAACATTTGGTTTTGTATTCTACATCATTGATGCAAAACCTTCTGATTTGTCACCAAAATATTATTACTTTCCGAAAATAATACCTATTTTTTCAGGAAGGATGCATTAAATTGTTTAAAAGTGAGAGTAAAGTACTGTTTTCAACATTGATAATAATTAAAAATGAGTGCTAAAGGATCATGGGGCGCTGAAGACTACTGGAAATTCAGCTTTGCCATCAGAGGAATAATTAAAATATATTAAAACAAAACAGTTATTCTAAATTGCAATATTACAAAATAAAACAGTTTTTACTGTATTTTTATCCAATAAATAAAGCCAAGGTGATCATAAGAGACTTTCAAAAACAACAACAAAGCATCATAGCAATACTAAAATTTTAACCAATTATTATTGTTTTTCATTATAGTGTGTTTTCTGTAACGTTGAAAAGACAAAGGAAAAATCTAAATATTTCTGGCAAAAATGGAAAATTGATTATTCTGTGTGGAAAAAACATCAACAGGGCAAAATCGGTTGTTGATGTTCACTAGCCTTAAATAAATAAATAAATATATAAATACATAAATAAATATAAATAAGTCAATATTGTTAAACCATAATATGATAAATCACTTAAAAGAATCAACTTTTTTCACTTCTAAGAAATGACTGATATTTCCAAAATGTTGATGCTAATAATGTTGATATAACGCCAATATATAATCAATACATCAAATGATATTATACAAAATTGCTAAAAATGTAATTAACACCAAATAAAATGTACTGTTTTTGTGTTGCATTTTTTTATTAAAAAAAATAAATAAATGCTGCAAACATAATGTATAACGAACCCTGTGGTATATTTTATTCATTAAACTTATATGGTCAAAATGTTCAGTGGTCACAGAAATGATGTACCTTGATGGCTCAGCTTCTGAGATGTCTGCTTTAAAAGAGGCGTTCAGTCTCGTTTCTCTGGTAGCGAGGTCATCAACAAGGTTCTGTCTTCTGTCTGCTTCGGCTTGCATTCTAACATTATTCATTAAGGCTTTAAAATGACACATTTATGATTGCATAATTATACTCATCTCACAGAACCATTGCTAAATCATCATAAACATCTGTGACTTATGAACATAACAGTAATATTTTAACAGTACTTCAATACTAAAACACCACTACTTCAGACCATACGGTCATTGGTTTGTTATTATACACTGCCCCCTACAGGTGCTCATAAGAACTCACACTTTTTTCTCATTATTAAAGGAGGTTCACGGTAATATTAAGATTCTGTTTAATCAACCTAATATCAATTAAACCTGTATGCTAACAGGTCATTTGTTAGCAAAAATTTGGTTTCTGCCAGTTCTGCCATCACTATGCGCTCCTAAAATAAGAACAACAACAAAATTCATAACCTTTTTGTCTGAATCATAATGCCAGTGATCTGAACTTAAGAGCCAGTCTAATCCATGAACCATATTAACTGTTCACTGAAAAGAACTGGCTCAAAAGTGGAGAGACTGGAGACTGGAGGGAACTAGTTCTTGAGTTACAAGCTCATTGGAGGGCAGGATAATCAGCAAATAATAATTTCAGCTTGGTCGGTTACTCTATTATATGACTTCATAACACTTATTTCATGACTAGAATGCAATAATTCTATAGGATTTTTTTTGTGCCTTTTCTAGAGGTTGTAACATGCTAAAAAATGTCTAAAAAGTGTGAAATGTCTCATTTTGTGTCCCACAATAAATAAATAACAGCATTTATGTTTAAAACTATTTTTGGATGAACTACAATTTAGACAATCTTCAGCCTCAAGACTGTTGCAAAAATGTCTCAAGTCTACTTTATTTATAGAGCCCTTTCCACTACAAAGTAGACCAAAGGACTGTACAGCAACACAACAAGACGAGATTAATAAAAACAAAAATCAATAATAACAGAAAAACAATTTAAAACAATTTACATCTTCCAAAAGTCAACAATTAAAAGCCAAGGTTTTCACACGAGATTTAAAAACATCACCTGAGGGTGCAGCTCTGATGTCAGGTGGAAGGGTATTCCACAGTCTTGGGCCAGCAACCGAGAATGCATGATCCCCCTTAGTTTTCGGAACTGAGAGCAGTAAGCAGTTAAATTGATCTTTGAGGTCTACCAGAGTTAATGTGAATCAGTTCCGTAATATATTCTGGGGCCATATCATGGACAGCTTTAAAAACGCACAGCAACACCTTATACTGAATCCGATATTTAACCAGAAGCCAATACAGCTTTTCCAAAACTTGAGTAATATGCTCCCTTTTCTTTGTACTAGTAAGGAGCCTCGCAGCTGCATTCTGGACCAATTGCAATATTGAAATAAGAGATTGGCTCACTCCAAAATAAAGTGCATTACAGTAGTCCAAACGGGAGGAGATAAATGCATGAATCACTATCTCAAGGTCAGCAACAGACAAAAAGGATTTCATTTTTGCAATAGTCCTCGACTGAAAGAAGCAACTTTTCACCACACATTTAATTGTACAAAATGTAAGACATTAAAGTATAATGTAAAATATACCACACTCTTCCTCTGGATCGCTCAAAATCTTTGGACCCTACTCTCAGCTTTTGAGAAGCAGGAAATTAGTATTAAGTGACTTTTTTTTCTGGAAAGGATACATACGCCGTTGAGCAGAAGCTCGAGTCAATGTCTCCTTGAGCTGTGCTATATTCTGTTTGAGCCTCTGTAATGATGCTCTCAGGGTCATGTTGAGCTACAAGTACAGACAAAGACAAAAGTGATACAACAGCATAAAGATCACTGACACATATGGCTTAATTTTATTGTACAACAAAAATTTATAAAACCCTGTCTTTACCTTGGCTGGATTTCCTCCAGTCCTCAGCTGTCTATTTCTTTCATGGATGTTTTCTGCAATTTCTTGAGCCAGGCGACAAGCTGCATCATAATTCTGTAACCTAAACAATGAAAAACAAAACAATGTCAATTTGGTAAAAAATAGTTTTACACCTGCCACAGCTTCCACCAGTTTTCAAGTCATTTAAATCACAAGATTGGCATCAACAAAATCATGTGACATCTCAGCAAACCGGATTGGCAACATTTATATCAGCTGTTCGCCGAGTAAAAACATATATATGTACACAAACACAGAATCATTTATTAAAGTACAGTGTGTGACGAGCAATAAAGAAATGAATACAGAGATCATTTCAGTCTGAGGTGATCTGGCTGAATACAGATCCACTGACTGCAACAGCAAATTATGTTTGCTGAACTCTACGACACAGAACTGTAGACCTCACTTGTTTATAAACGATAAGAATTTAGAAATGCATACCACAAATCCTGTGACATATTGCGGCACTTTCCTTTCAGTTATAAAAAGCGTTTCTGTAGAAACTCAGTGCAAAATCACCAGCAACATAAACTGCGCCGTGCCAGTTCCTGTTTGGCCGTGACGTCAGACGGTGGCCTAGTACAGACATATCACGCAGCATACGCTCAAAATTAATACACAGAAAACGTTAAATTGTTTAACACGCTGTAACTATAATATTTAGATTACAATAGACTTTCGCAAGATTTAGATACGCTAACGTTATGTAGGCTACATTATCTTTTACATTATTATTTTAATTTTTTATTTATTTTTATTTTTTATTATCTGTGTTTTTTTGTTCTGTCACTGTCATTCTGTTACACTGTGGAAGCTTCTGTCACGAAAACAAATTCCTCGTATGTGTAAACATACCTGGCAATAAAGCTCATTCTGATTCTGATTCTGATTCTGATCTCACTTATTGCACAACTAGTCTCAAAGAAATTAATAGAGAATGGGAATGTGTCATCACAGCTGCAATGCATTCTGGGAATTTAGGTCACGGGAGCCACAGCGGAGACTGGATAATATAGTGAATGTAGACGTTTGATATTATTTAATGTTTATATTATTCTACTTAAGATCGTGTTGGAGGGGTTAAGGCTCACCTTACATCATTTGCCATAGCCCTTTGCACGGCCGGTGTGAAAAACGTGAAAAACGTTAGCAAGCTGAAAAAGCAGAGATCATTTCTGCAGACATTGATAAGGGCTATGCCATAGCTCTTATCAATTTCTGCATTAAATACCTCTGCTTTTGATTAACGCTATGTTGATACAGTAAGCGTTAATCATTCCAACGCGATCTTAAGTTGAATCATATAAACATAAAATAATATAACATTTCTACATTCACTACGGAACTCGGATGAAAGTTAAACTGAAACTCGGTATGGTAAACAACTCAAATAAGATGCATCTTAATAATTGATCTCTGTAGATTTATTATATACAGTGGTTTGCATTAAACTGTAAGCCCTCACACCACAAATAGAAGAAAATCAAATATGGAAATGTTATCTTGCGGCAGCTCTTTGATACCCTGCCACTTGTTTGCACGGATTAAGTTTCAGTTATTTGATCGCTTGCATCGTTGTTTGTTCGGCATCTCTAATAGTAAGAATCTTCAACTTGGTTCATTCAAGTCAAGGTATTTATTTGCATAGCATCCACAATACACATAGTTTCCAAAAAGCTTCTAGTAAGTTCTGTTACCTCTATAATGGCTTAATTCTTTACACTGAGCAGTTTTACTGTGCAATATGACAATATATAACAATAATAAATGATCCACTGTTTGAGATCTAGCTATGTATTCTCCCCTTTAAAAAATAGCCATGGTTTTGCTACTCTAACCAAAGTGTTTTAGCAGTTAGCCTATATCAGTACCACTGTAGTGAAAGAGACTGAATAATGAATATTTGCAGCCTCTCAGACAAACCACAGAGCGATTTTTTTTATTTAAAGAGATTTACATATTAGTCTGTTTTATTCTAAGAGTATGTAAGATGGTTTTCAAAAAATATTAATAGTAAGCGGTCGGCTTTTTCTGTGGTGATTTGCGTGTGTTTACACTGTGTGCTCCTGAGCGTGACCTAAAACATGGCGGAATCCAACGCGGCGTGACGTAGATTCCCATTCTCTATACGAAGACGTTGAGTTGAAATTATTAATTAGAAATTAATTATTATATGAGAAGAAATAGACCATGGAGTCAGAAACACTAAATTCAGCCCACACCTGCTAAATCAAGTTGTGAGAGATATTAATTAATGTTGATTGTAGCCATTGTACACATTAGCCTACTGATAATAAAGAATAAGGAAATGTTGGTTAAAAAAACCTCTTTACAAATACTCCACAGTCTGCATAAACCGGAGAACAATTAACTAATTGCAATAGAGATGCTATGTTCTTACAGCCTATTGATAGCCCTACTGATTTCACAAGAAACGTATCTGACCCTGCAATATTTCTTACAACAATGTAGCCTATATTTAGTCTAAGTAGGAGTGTAAATCTCTTCATCTTTTTTGTCTCATTCCTCCAAGTTCAGATCTGTTCAGTTATACATTGTTTGTTACATAATGGCACAATTCTTATCTATGTAAAAGAGACAAACATGCCTCTTTTAATTTCTGTCCTGATAACGTCTTCCTGTGAAATGTTTTGTTTGAAAAGTGTATTTGAGATCTATCTTTAAAATAAATGCTTCTTGGTTTGAGATGCACTTTTACCTGTTGAAGTGCACTCTTATCTGTTTGAAATATAGCAATACCAGGAGCTAATGTTAAAACTATAATGCCTGTTTCAGAAATGTCCTTTATTGTAATATTAGTTGATTAAGTTGGTTGAGTGATCTGTTGTGCTTAATGATTCAGAAACATTCTATGCCCACTATATTATGGTCCTACTGTAAGTTATGTGGGATCATGGTAGTTATATTTTTTGTAATTTTTTTTTTTTCACTGTGAGACTGAAGATAAATAAGCACACACACACACACACACACACATATACAGTATATATA